AATTTTGTTATTTAGAGCTAATATATTATTCGTTATAAAAGTGATTCACATATACTCCTAACCATTATAAAAGTGACTCATATATATGTCTGCTCCCATGCCATTTTTCTTTATGCCAATGAGAATATGACATTTTTATCTTGGCAATTTACGCTTTTTTCAATTAAAAAGAGACTACTTCTCTACTTACCCCATTATGTGGAAGATTAAAAAATTTTAGGCCCTTCATGTTTTGAGATTGTTTTCTTCCAATCACTAGTAAACAAAGCTACAATGATACTCGATATATGAAGTGTACCACTTATGCTTAATTTAACTGTCCAAATAAAAATCATTTTTCTGTAATTGAAAACTATTAATAACTTTTTTTAATTCTTAATTAAATAATTTATAGCCATACAAAAAATTAAGAAGTCTTTCTAGACCATAAATTTTAATTAAACGGTATAATAAAAATTAAGATGGAGAGACAGAGAAGAATTTTAACTTAATTCATGTTCATCAAATAACCAAATAAATCAGCTAACATCTGATTCGAACCAATTTTTTATGTTCCATTTTAATACTTACATTAGAATCTGACTAAATTTAAATTCGGAGCCCCGAAAAATTAGCATTACTATCGGTCTATCACAGGCCACTTTGCACATTTTTTCCAAAATATACTTAATGGAAGCTTTTGCAGTGATGCTAATTAAGGATGTTGAATGAACGGACTACCAAAAAAAAAAAGAAGGAAAATAATGGTTTCCTCTTTCTGAATAAAACAAAGAATTTTGGTGAAGGAATAAAACAGAAATAAACAAAAGGGAAGGATGATTTCTGAATAAAGATGCAAATAATTGTGTTTCTAGAGAAACAAATTAAGCAAGCTCTTTGATTTCTATTTTCTAATAATAAAAGCACAAAAAGAAAAAAAACAAAGAGAAATGAATAATTATAAGGGCCCGTTTGGTATGATTTGAAATAGTATTGATGTGAAGTTAAATTATGTTTGAATAAGTAATTTAGAATTTTTAATTTGTATTTTTTTTCAATAAACATGAAAACCTCATATTGTGTGAAAACTATATAAAAAATCAATTATTATACTATCTTTTCAAGTAATCATAATTCATAAATAAGGTATTAAAATACGATGATGCGCCACATTAATACATTACATGTATCCATGTTTCTTTATGAATAAATATTTGCGATTTCATGTTATTACGTGATTTCAAACGTACATAATTTTACAAAAAATCACTAATTTAAAAAATCAATAATAGTAATCTAGTTATTTTTTAATGTAATCTTTCCACATGGTACGAACTATCTATTTATAATGAATTTTTTTAATAAAAATATAAATTTATTAGTCAAGTTTTACATTTTAAAAAGAATTAAAATCACAATTTTGCAATTTGAAATTTTACTTCTCGAAGAATTTAAAATTTAAAATTTATTCTCGAACAAAGGATACAATATAAATTCAAAATAATCAGACTTCAATACAAATATGATCTTTTATTTGGGTGAAAAGGAAAAAAAGGAGTTCCCAATCTTTTTTTAGAGATTATTATTGTCTGGTTGGATCCAACTTTGTCAGGTGCTAAAGGTTTGGCATCACTGTAATCATATGACCCACAAATCACTATATAATCATCCACATACACTACTTTTTTTCTGGTCCTCACCACAGACTTGAGTCTTTGGGAAGAGCTTAAAAGTAAATGTTATCTTAATAAAAATTAATAAATAAAATATATTGTTTTATTTAATAAATATTTTTTATAAATGAAACTCATTAAGAAGATGGAACATAATAGTATAAATTTTTTAAAAATATTTTAAGGCGAATTATGTAATTATTAAAGCTAATAATCAGAAGCTACAACAACCAATAAACCTAAAGAAAAATAAAATTGATGTGAGAAGAATAGGTAGCTTATACTTTTTTTTTGTTTATTTTGTTTATTTTGTTCATCTGATTTTAGCTTGTTATGGAGTTTAAAAATATTAAAAGATTTTTTAATTTTGTGTTTTTAAGTTAAAAATATATAAAATGTACTAAGATATCCTTTAATATGTGGTCTTGAGCATGTCACGTGAAAGTTATAATTAGAAAATTGTCAAAAGGGGAAAAAAACATTATTTTAAAATTGATTAAAAATGAATATAAGATAAACAAATTAAAACAAATGAAGATATTTAATTCAAGATCACAAAATTCAATTCAAAAGTCTTCATTAAATTTTAAAATTATATGTCAAGTTAAAATCAAATAACTAATTTATATTAAAATGGAAAAAGTATGAATTGAATCTAATTCAATTTTATTTTAAAAATTAATTAATTAATTTTAAAAAAATAAAAACTATCACGTAAATTGTAACGTAGGAGTACCAAGCAACAACAACCAATAAAACTAAAGAAAAAATAGAAAGAGTAAGATTACTTTTAGAAAATAAACAAAGCTTCATGCTTAAGCTTGGCACGACAACACACAAGACAAAAAAGGGAAAGAAAGATATATGAGGATTTTTCTGGCCCAGTCTAAGAAGTTTGGTGTGATTTGTATGCTATTACACCGTGGGATTTATCTAATGCGTATAAACTGTTTAATATATAATGCTCATCCGAATAGAAGAGGCTGTAATAAAAATTATAGTGATTGCGAATTATTCTGAGGCTCCAATTAATTTTTTTTTATATAAAGAAGCTAAAACCTACACAAAATTCATTTGCTCAATCTAATTTAGATTTACACACACAAAATCTATTTAACATGTTTTTATATTACAAATTTCCTCATCAAACATAGTTTGAATTGAGACTAAGTTCAATATTATATGATATTTCATCTCTTAAGTGAAATATACTAATTTCAGAATTATATTTTCAGGACTAAGCGTTCAAAATAATTTTGTTCATAAACCAAACGATTTTTACATGTTACATAACAAGGACATGAATATAATATTTGATTGTCAACTTCAAATAATAAAACGTCTTAATTCTTATCTAACAAAGTCGCCATATGTTAAATTATATTCCATTTTTTCTAGATATCTAATAAAAGTCTGATAAACATCGCAATTCTCAAGATGAGAAGACATATTCGAAGGTTCCATTTTCCAAATCAATCTTCAATCAAAGGTGGAAGTAGTTTTCCAAATCATTTTCGTGTTGAGAATAATAATACGGTTGATATTATATTAAAAATAGTTATTCCATATAGATGATCACCTTATTAAATCAAGAAAATATTAATTGATTTTTTTTCATATTATCCTTGCAATTAATTCTTTTGGAAAGTGTTCATACTTATTTGTAAAGTTCCAAAGAAGTTCTTAAGGGGTGAATTAGTAAAACCATCTTCTTATTTATGATTACCTAACATGCGTGGAAAAAGAAAAGTGATCAACTAATATGAAACGGAGGGAGTACTGCATATTAAAATAGTAATTTAATTGAGATTAACTTCCTCGTAATATCCCGATTGACTTTTTCACTTCTAGAAAGAAAGAAAATGAACTTTTGATATTCCTTAAAATTAATAAAAATTCATTAATTAAGAAAAGCTTTACCTTGCTTGCAAGAAATCTTACATTGATTGGGTAGTTGATGACCAAATATTAGTATATATCATTAATGTACAAATCACAGTAATTAACATAAGCCTCCTGACATTCTAATCTGCAATCATCAATGACATTCTTTTGGTTGTTCACATTGATTATTTGATTATTACTCCCAAGTATTGTTGGATATCCCAAAATAATATAGTGGACAACTATTGTTGGACGAAGGGAGTACGTTCACTTTTACTTGTCACTTTTGATATATCAAGAAAAAACAATAATTTTTTTCCATGTTTACCCTCAACATTAAATACTTATTTTTCAAATCATTTTTCAAGACATCATTTAATAGGAGATAGTTTGATAAAATGACTATATCAATTCTATTATTTTGTAAATTGAGAGAACTATTTTTAATAAGGTAAATAACTAATATGAGACGAAGAGAGTACTGAACTGTTATTTACCGTTTATCAAATTTAATTAATGGATTTTTATATGCAAGCTCCATAGATTGTGGAAGGGAAAACGGTAAGCTAAGTACATCAGCTTGGGATACGTTCACATGGACGGTTATATGTCGTAAGGTCCGGACAGATACACCTGTTATATACATAGATTTATACCTAATTCGAATCGACAATTTTGCGTACTCTCAAACTCATGCTTGAATCTAAGACTTCATGTGTGTATGTATAAGCATACAACTTTAACTAATACGAATTTAGAAATTGATCTTTATGAATTCTGCATTTTAGAATAGCGATAACTGAATTTTGAATTCAATTTATACGTTAGAGGTTAGAGTTGAACGTTTGATATAAGATTGGATGGAAGTCTTTTTCACGTGGTAGAATTATTTAAACACAATTGATCACCACATAAAATGTGTAACCTCCATATATGCCATTATTATAAGGTCCACAACAACTTGCATAAATATTAGGGAAAAAAAAGTCTTAAATATAATCAAAGTTGTTGTAACAATCCAAAACTTTGGGCAGGACAAAGTTTGGAATTGTTACAACAATTTCGATCAAAATTCGGATATATTCCGAACCATTTTCCCTAAATATTACGTCTAGTAACATCCTTTTTTTTTCCCTTTCTTGCTCTCACGATCATGAATTGTGCCCTACACAGATTATTAATTTATGTTTTGCTTGGCAATGAGGGTACTATCTGAAAGTTAGACAATTCAATCCCTTCGAGAAACTACATTAATTTTCTAAATTCTTTCCTGAGAAGAAAGCAAGCAAGCAAATACTGACAATCAAGAGGGAGTCGCTCTGATAATAAACTTCATTCACTTCCAACCTTAAGGCTATAAGTTTGAGTCGAGAGCAAAGATGAGAGCTCCTGCGAGGGGTTTGAAAAAAAAAAACAAGCAAAATAGCAAATACAGATAGATTTAAATAAGTTTCAAGATTATTATTAAATGGAATTAAGAAATAATTTATACTAGTACGAAAATTTCATTTATAATTCATCAACTGGGATAAGGACAAAACTTATCCAGATATTTACAGACAATCGATTCATGATCTAATCATCATTTACTCTCTAATTTAATCAATCTAAATCCTTACATGATCACTCCAAAACCAGCAAATCAACTACGTAATCATAATTAATAAGGAGCTTAATTAATTAATCACGTATTCACATCACAATGGCATTACATTCCGACTCGTCCCGTTCGTGTTAGCGAAAAATCCGACTAGATCTTGCCTGTACGGTAAGTATGTTTTCCTTTTCTCGCCGCCTCCGTTCTTCACGTAATGCATCGCCGGGTAACCATCAGCCACTGGAATTCCCTTTGATTTTGCGGTAACTTTTGGTGCATTATCAATCGTCGTCTTCTCTGCTTTGTTTTCCTTCTTTCTGAACGAAGGAGTCAAAAAGACGAAAGTATCCTTACCGTCGCTATTGCTCCGGTAGAGGAGGTCACGAAACTTCCAGCGTTTTGAGGAGCCTGTGGAGTTGCTCTTCTTACAACTTCCGGCAGATTTTTCCTCCGGTTTAGGCCTCCACGTGCAGTACGTTCCCTCAGGAATCCCTTCCAGATCATCGGCTTCCGATGACGAGCACGAGAAGTTAGCTTCTCGCTCTTCTTCCATGAAAAGCTTCCGTAACGGAAGCCTAATTGATTTCGGTCCAGCAGAAGAAATCTCCTCCGACGTCGAATTTGAATTAGATCTACCATTCATGAAATCCGACAATAAATCCCTATTGAAAAGCGGGTAAATTGGACGGATCTGTCCATTATAGAAGATTTCATCAGCCGCAACAGGTGAAATTTCAGACTGTTTTACAAATGAAAACTCAAATTCATCTTCATCTTCATCTTCATTTCCTTGTTCCTCCTCCTTCTCATTCAACCTTCTTCCACTCTCAAAACAACTCAAACCTCCATCATCATCAACAAAAAATTCCTCGTCTGTGCCATTTTCAGCCCGGAACTCTTGCACAACTCTATCAGCAATTTCAGCCAAATTCTTATTAGAGTAACTATTGAAACTCGGAGACTGTGATGACTCCCACCTCGCCTGCATTTCTCCAACAAACTCACTGATTCCCAAATACAAAAATATAGAGAGAGAGCGTTTGTTTGTTATAGTTTGGTATAAAAGGTGGAAAGTGCGGGCGTCGGTTTGAGATTATAAAGGCTACTAATTCGAAACGGAAAATCAAATGGGAAAAGGGATATGATTAGGTGAGGGAAGGTGTACAATAAGTTGTTGAGCTTTTATACATCGTATATACCAAATAATTGGTGGAAAATTGGAATTATTGACTTTTGACTTTTTAGGTGTCAACGTATAATGTAGCTACTTCGTCTATATTAAAAATAAATATTTTATCTTATAGTATTAAATGATCATATTAGTATTCATAGTGATTAAATATTAAATTTTAAAATATTATTAATAAAATTAATTTAATAGAATATGCTTTTAATTAAGTAATCGGGCCAAATAATATGAAACAAAGGAAGTAATATATGTGTACACACTTTGAACAGTTCTTTGCTTGGTTTATACGTAATATGATCTAAAGTCCACACGTAAGAGGGAATACTTTTGTTTGTGTGGTGCTGTAGAAATTGGCTGCGCTGTTGTCTGTGGTTTCTTTTCTACGTGATTTAAATAAATGTGAGTTGGCTGTGTTTCTTTGTTTTATTATTCAAAAAAAGGTGGTTGTTTTAATTATCATCCTTGTTGGTATTTTATTTTTATTTTTTCATTTTTAGAATTCTGGATTTCGTCTGTTTGAAAAGTTTTTAGGTTGTTGGGATAGTCAAAATAAATAAATTGTTAAGAGTGTTTAAAATTTGAAGAAGTAAATAAAAATAATATATGGTTCATTATCGATTAACCTAGCATTGTGTCATGAGTGATCTCAATATATATTTTTATATTAAAGTAAAGAAAATTGAGCAATTCGCTTTAAGTAGTGAAAATACATGGGCTACTCTATACTATGAATTATTGCATGAGTGATGATCTATATATTATAAAAACATAAAAAGTTTATCGATTAGGTATATATTATAAACAAATACTATGAAAATTAACCACATTAAAAAAAAAAGAAGCATAAATTTATCGATTTTAAAGTTTGGATTTAAGGTTATAGCTTTAAATTTGTTGATATTTTCAACAACATCTCAAACGCACCTCACCTCCATGATCACCATCTCCGCCCCCTTACACTTCATTTTCACCCCACGTCCCCACCCTTGTTATCCCCATCCCCTCCACCTCCCACACTTATATGCATCCTCACATTTTGAAGTATTTGTCTATAAATAATTTTAGAATAATATAATACATATTGTTATGTAGTGAACACAAAAAAACTAAGTAAAATACTCACTTATTTTCTAGAAAATATTTACCTTCCTACCAAACACACCCTAATATTACTATTAATAATATTTAGATTATTTTTACTTGTTATCACGGAGGAATTAATTAACATTTCTTGTTCACTTACAAAAATTTAAAAAAATGATAATGTTAAATTTCTTATTTATAAAAATGAAGATTTTTTTATCAGTGAAACTAAAGATTTATTGTAAAAATAATATAAATTTTCAAAGAAAAGTTACAACTTACCAACAAAATGAATTTTCCCATTATCAAAGATAATTTATCTTGATTTATTATTATTATTTTAAATATTTTTTGTTTTTTGTTTTTTATTTGTGTATGTGTGTGTTTTCTCACTTTTTAGATTTCTTTAATTTAATTGTCTATAAAAAAGTTGTATATTTATGAGGCTAAAAAATTTAATTCAAATTCTTGAATTAAAGTATTTATATACTATTTAACATGAAATACAAATGTAACATCGTGTTCAAGAACTAGTGACTTTGGGATGTAACATGCATATTGGGATGTTTCCGAATGACTCATATTTTAGGGAATTTTTGTAAATTAGAAAAGAGTAGGAATATGATTTAATTTGGGAAAATTAGCTATATAGTCATAATATCTAACATATTTAGTCAAAACAACAACACTTTAAAATATTTATTTAAAATGACAGAATGTCAATATTTTCAAAAATAATTTGTATTCACATTTTATAATTTATATTTCCTTTTATTAATCAAAAGAGTCCATAATTAGATCAAATTTTAACCAATAACAGATTAAAAAGAAAAAACAAATACAAAACTATCCATTAATATCTTCCCACATCTTAGACGTTTCCCACCTTTCACGTTTCGCAATTATAGTTTTTGTTTTTCCCCAATTTTCACGTTCTTAGATTCTCTTTCTTCAAGATTTTTGCTCACATTGAAACACAAGGTATTCAAAGCTCGATTCTTCAACAAAATTGGTGGATTAATTCAAGGGATTAATCGGTTGGTAAACAAAATCTAGAGATTAATTCAAGAAATTTTGAATTTGGTAAAGGTAATATCGATTAGTTATTTAGATTTCTTTTGATTTGTTTTCAATATCACCGTCTATGATTTTATTTAGAATTGTACATATTACGGATTTTCAGTTAATTTTTTTTTTTTCAAGTTTGTTTAC